GGAAGTGGCTTCAGATTCTCAGTGCTGTGCTTTAACCCGCTGCGCCACCAGGGAGGGCCCAGAGTTGAAGAATTTTTAAGTTGCTTTCAATACCTAGAAATTGTGTTGAGTCTCAAAATAATGTATTTGAAGTTTTACATTGCACACTTATATATATATATTTTTTAATGAAAATCAAGGCAGGGGCTTCCCTGGTTGCACAGGGATTAAAAATAGCACTATCAAGCTATAGCCAGCCACTGCAGCACAAGTTGGATGCCCAGCTGGGTTAGAGTCCCGGTCACATGGCACAGCAGATCTCTCCTGTTTACCCTGCTGCACCCCTCAGCAGTATATTTCAGTAGATCTGCCTGTTCTGCTCCCCACTTGGGTGAATCTTCTCACCTCCCTCTCAGGCCCTCCTCACACATCTGGCTTACACCCCAGTTTGTGTATGCAAAAATAAATCTTTAAACAGAAAAAAAACAAGCATGGGTTTGGCTTTTACATAAATTATCCAGATTGAGTTTTGTGACTCATATTCACATTGGTGGAACCAAAGTCTGTACATTACTTTCAAAACCTCTGTTAACATAGCAGTTTATTGAACAGAATTGATTATTACCTAACATTACATACACAATTAGGTATAAACTTGGAAATTTGCTAATGCAACTTTTTAAGATCAATTGTTTTGAGATAGCGTTCCTTTTTTTTTTTAAAAGATTTATTTATTTATACATATAAACATATAAACTAGGGTACAGACCACAGGTACAGGGGTGGTGAGAGGCTTCACCAGAGATAGAGTGGGGAGCAGAACAGGTAGATCAATGAGGTACACTGCTGAGGGGAGCAGCAGGTGGGTCAGGAGAGGTCTGCCATGCCAGGTGGGTTACCTCCAGGACCAGAGATCGAACTCAGCTGAAGTGGCTTTAGCTTCCTCGTGCTGTGCTTTAACCTGCTCTGCCACCAGGAAGGGCCCTCTTTGTTCTTTTTTTTTTTTTTTTTAAAGATTTATTTATTTGTGCATACAGAACTGGGGTACAGGCCAGAGGCTCAGGGGCGGCGAGAGGCTTCACCAGAGACAGAGTGGGGAACAGAACAGGCAGATCGACGAAGTACACTGCTGAGGGGAGCAGCGGGCAGGTCAGGAGAGGTCTGCCATGCCATGTGGTCACCTCCGGGGCAGGCGGGAATCGAACTCATGAGGAAGCGGCTTTAGATTCTCAGTGCTGTGCTTTAACCCACTGGGCCACCAGGGAGGGCCTCTTTGTTCTTTTTTTTTTAAACTGAGTTTCACCTTTACTAATTTTTGTCTTCCTTACAGTGATTGGTTCTGCACGTGCACGGCCTAGTCAACTTCCTGAACAGTCTTCCTCTGCACAACAGAATGGTAGTGTTTCAGATATATCTCCAGTTCAAGCTGCAAAAAAGGAATTTGGACCCCCTTGTATGTAAATCATGTATCAAGGATTCAGTCATCTTAGGCATACATGTATTCTCTCTTGGTCATCTTTATAAGTCCCCAAATGGTAAACCACCTAATTGCAAACTTTATTGCAGATTTCATCTTACCACTGAGGACAATTATTTTTTTCTAAGAAGCTTAGTCCATTAATTGGGGTTTTAAATATTATTTCAGATAAAAAAAAAGTTTGTGGCTACTAAACAGTATTCCAGTTACTTAGAATTTAAAATTCTGGCCAGGAAATAATTTGACAGTGTTATTGGTACCTCTCAATTCAAAAATCTGTGATTCTAAACCAAGAGATGACATGTATCAATATGTTAGAGTCATTTTTCTTGACTCTTATATGTATATTGTCCTGTTCCTAGTTTTGTTAAAGCAGCTCATTAGTAACGTTCACATGGTTGTTATAGGCATGCTTTATCATTGTGTTCCTTTTTGGGAAGGTGTGTATGTGCTGAAATTATATATAAAATTTTTGTGTGTAAGTACATTGGTCTGAAAAGAAAACTAAAGTTCATATTTCTTTTATTTTAGCACGTAGAAAATCTAATTGTGTGAAAGAAGTAGAAAAATTACAAGAAAAACGAGAAAAACGGAGACTGCAACAGCAAGAACTTAGAGAAAAAAGAGCCCAGGTTTGTAAAAGAAAGAAATGTTTTCAGTGGAAGTGATTGGCTTGTTTAAAAAAAATAACAAAAAACCTTGTAATGTACTTTAAAGGATTATATGTAGTGCTTAGTTAGATATTGAGGTTATAATACAGATTTTTATGGAAACAATTTATCTTAACATTTTAACAACATGTACCTTTTGTATTTTAGTGGCTGCATGTTATCTTAAAGTTTGTTCCTTTTTGAATAAGCCATTGTGTTCCAGAATTCTAATGCATATGCTAGTCAAGATTTTGACTTTGAAAAGTAATCTAGAGGTATATTCAGGAGACTATCCAATTATGCTATGAATTTTATTACTGTGTTTTACATGGTTATATAATCAGCAAAAGGGAGGCAATTCTTGTGTTTTGATTAATACCAGATAATTGAGAATGTATCTCTACAGTGCCCTCTCGTGTTCACTTACATGACAGAAAACTGTTTATTAGCAGTAGAAAAATTACATAGAGGGCTGGTTTATCTCTCTATGGGTCACTACATAATAAATTTTGTACTTTCTATTCTTTGTTTGTATCTGTTATAATTCTGAGAACTTGCCACTCCAATAAAACCTGGGGGTTGTTTCTGTAAGAGCATACACCTTAGTCATAAAGGTGTATGCTGTATTATGAAATTGTAGTATGCAGTACAATTCTCAATCTGAATAAATCAACTTGAATCTGAAAAGGACCTGAAAAGGACCAGTTGGATTTGAAAATAATAGGCAAAACAGATTATTAGTACTTCTCACAGTCGCCACCTACTGTTCGCTATGGGTGCTTTATAGTATTTCCTATAAAGTGATCTCCTAATTCTCACTTTAAAGCTTCTGCTTCTCAATTGTCACTGCTGGTATTATTTCCTACAAAAAATTTTAATGGAAAGTAAGTTTCCTTAATAGATTTGAAATGCAATTATTTTCAGTGCAAATCTGTATTTGGTGTTTAAAAAAATATGGCAATGCTCAATAGTTTACTGCTCACTGTTAGGAGGCTAACTATTACCATGTTTATCTTAATCTCATTTTGAAACAAAATATAAATTGCAGTCAGCATTCATTAACTTAAATTTTAAATATTTGGAAAATTATCTTGACATCTGATTCATAAATTCCTGTTGATTTAGGACTAGATTTTTTATTTTATTGATAATCAATAAAAATATGGAACATAAACAAGCCCATATTTCTAATTTGTCTAAACACTGGTTTAAGTAGTAGGAAGAAGCTGATTAATTGAATTTTTCTAGAAGTTCTGCTTCCCTATATTTCATTGTCAATGTTTAAGATAAGCACTGTTTTATTGAATTTTCGTGTGTGTGTGTGTGTGTGTGTGTGTGTGTGTGTGTGTGTGTGTAAAAGATCTGGGATGTAGGCCAGAGGTACGAGGATGCTGAAAGGATTCACCAGTGACAGAAAAGGAAGTAGAACAGGCAGGTTTACTGAAATACACTGTAAGGGGAGACAGGAGATGTCTTCTGTACCCTAAGGAGGTTAGCTTTGTGACCCATGATTGAACTTAGGCCATAATTGTGATAGCACTGAGAGTTAACCCCTTGCCTACTAGGTGGCCTTTTATTACACTTTCTAATACAGTTAAGATATATGCATAATTTATTAATTTTTTAAAAGATTATTTATTTACACATACAGATCCGGGTACAGGTCAGAGATGCAAGGGCAGTGAGCGGATTCACCAGCGACAGAGTGAAGAGCAGAACAGGCAGATCAATGAAGTATACTGCTGAGGGGACCAGTGGGTGGGTCAGGTCTGCCACGCCATGTGGGTCAGCTCTGGTGCTGGGGATGGAACTGGCACTTGAAGGGCTATGCTTAACCCATAATGCCATTAGGGAGGGCCCACAGATTAATTTTTTGATACGTCATGGTTGACTTTATTGCGAGTGTTTGGTTTGAAGTTAGCAGAATGCATGTAGACTAACAATTGTGTTTTTGTTTTTTTTTTTTTAAAGATTTATTTATTTATTTATACAGAACTCGGGTACAGGCCAAAGGCTCAGGGGCAGTGAGAGGATTCACCAGAGACAGAGTGGGGAACAGAACAGGCAGATCTACGAAGTACACTGCTGAAGGAAGCAGCAGGCGGGTCAGGAGAGATCTGCCACATCATGTGGTCACCTCCGGGGCAGGCGGGAATCGAACTCATGAGGAAGTGGCTTTAGCTTCTCAGTGCTGTGCTTTAACCCGCTGCACACCAGGGAGGGCCACAATTGTGTTTTTAACATGAAACTGATTTCTAGGCACATTATTAGTCCTGAACTTTGAAACTAAATTATGTCACATATCTAGTTTGAGTTTGGGCTTGGCTATGACTAATGATACAATCTATTGATTTAATTTTATTTTTCAAACCCTATCTAATGTAAAAGCAAGTATACATCGTTATTGTAATTATAATAAACAACTAATTCTCTTTTATAGGATGTTGATGCTACAAATCCAAATTATGAAATTATGTGTATGATCAGAGACTTTAGAGGAAGTTTGGATTATAGACCATTAACGACAGCAGACCCTGTAAGATTTTTTTAAGATTTATTTTTATTTATTTATGCATATAAGAACTGGGGTACAGACCAGGGGTATGGGATGAGAAGACTCACCAGAGAGTGGGGAGCAGAAGATGTGGATCTGTTGAAATGCACTACTGAGGGAAGCAGTGGGCGAGGCAGGATAGGTCAGTGCCACATGGCTGCCAGCAGCTTCATAGTATTGAGATTTAACCCCTTGTGCCATCAGGGAGGTCCCTTAGAATTTTATAAACCATTACTCTGGGATTTTTTAGTGTTGTAAATACATATTTGCTACCCACAAAATAATAATTGTATTTAGCTATGTAGTTTTTTCCTTTCCTGTGGATATTTCCCCCCATATTTTAAGAAGAAAATCAAGAAACCCTCTACAGTTTATCTCCTTTAATTTTATGTATCAGGCATGTTTTCCACAGATGTCCTTTTTCATAACTAAGCCTAGTCTTTTGGCCAAACAGCAAATAAAGGATTTTTATCAGAAGACCCAGTTTTTTTTCTGACTATCACTTAACACTTTGACTTCAACTTTATAAACTTATTTCATGTTTACCATAGGTTGTTCCAGTTTACTATTAGTTCATTTTTTTATTTTTAAGTAAATGTTGTTAAGACTTATAACAATAAAGTCTTAACTTTATTATTAAATTTTTTTCCTGACTGCAGGAGACAAGAAAAACTTAATGCTCAAGAAAAGTTCTTATTACTCCCTTCTGCTGAAGAGTGAAAATTTATTAGAGGATACTTTTGTCACTAGCTGGTACTAAATGAATATAATCTCTGATATAGCATACACAGATTATATTAGGTACACAAAATATGGTTGTGTTAGGTGGTTGTATTATATAGGATTTAATGCAGTTCAAAATATTTCACATATTTTAGGCCTTGCTTCCCCTCTGTTTAACCTACTATTTCTGATCTCAAACATTAGAACAGGTTGGCAAACTTTTTCTGAAAAGGGCTTGATGGTAGAATACTACTCAGTTCTCTTATTCTAGTATGAACGCAGCTGTAGACAGTACATAAAAAGAATGGGTCCAGTTTATTTTTGGGTAAGATTTATTTATGCATACAGAACTAGGGTGCAGGCTAGAGGTACAGGGGCAGTGAAAGGATTCACCAGAGATAGAGTGAAGAGCAGAACAGGCAGATTGATAAAGTACACTGCTGAGGGGAACAGCGGGAAAGTCAGGAGATACACACGGCATGTGTATCACCTCTGGAGCTAGGGATTTAACCCACACTGAAGCAGCTACTGCTCACTTGCAGTGTTGTATTTTAACTTGTTACCCCATCAGAGAGGGCCCCTCACTTGTTTTAGTAAGACTTCACAAAAGTGGTATTGAGCACTGTTAGGCCTGTGAGCCATACTTTGCCAATCACTGCTTTTTGTGTTGTTATTAAAAGGCAAGTGTTGGGGACATAGATTTTATGATAAAGTGTGAAAGAATTGGTATATTTATAATTTTTTTCAAATTATTTTGCTAATTAATATGGGGTCCTATATCTTTTCTATATATAGTCAGGTTTCTGTATCCACAGGTTCAATATCTTCTGATTGAAACAGTTGTGATTCAGAAATACATAGTACATAGTTAGGTCATGATGCTGGTGTCTATAATGAACATGTATAGTTGACTCTTGAACAGTGTGGGGGTTAAAGGAGCAGTGTTGTGCAATCAAAAATCTGTGTTTAATTTCTGATTCTGGTAGCCTGCCCTAGGCTGGTTTCAAGTCCACAGATTCTGCAAACTAATTTCCACGGATGGTTGAATTCATGATTGCAGAACCCAGGGATATAAAGAAATCCACTGTAAGTTGATCTGTGCAACTCAAGTGTATGTTGTTCAGAAGTCAACTATACAGACCTTTTTTCTATTATTCCCCAAATAATTACAACATAACTATACAGTACTTTCATTGTATTAGGAATTATAAGGGATCTTGATGATTTTAAGTAATAGGGGAGGATTATATAATTTATATACAAATACTTCACCACTTTACATACATACAAGCATATTAGCCTTGACCGTCAGGGGATTTTCATTGGGGGAGGGACGCTACTGTAATTGTAGTTGTTAACAATTTTCCCTATATATAATCTAAAGACAGACTACTTGGTAGGAAATTTTACTTTTATTCTACACAGTATTTCCTAAAGTAAATGAGGCAGCTTCTCTCCAGGAATCTAATGTGACTAGGAACAATGCCCTCTACAAAGTTATTTCCTAATGGCTTACCAAATAATAAACTAAGTGTGTTTCCATTTATCCTCAATATTTTAGAATAATTATATCTGAGAACTATTGAAATTTGTGCAAGCAAATTGTTTTTTAAGCTTATATCTATATTGTGCTTAATTTTCTAAATCCTTTGGAGGAAATAATGCATAGTTGACTTTTCATTGTTTTACGTGTCACTGGTAAACATTGAAATAAAAAATTTTATTTCTAGATTGATGAACATAGAATATGTGTCTGTGTGAGAAAACGACCACTCAATAAAAAAGGTATGATGTTAAACTGGAATAAATGATTGATTTTGTCCTATCTCCAATTAATTTTGTTAATAGCAGAAATCTAATTGGATTAGAAGACTGAAATGTAAATCATTTCTACATAATCATAATGCAGATTTATTTGGTTAAGTCTGTTGGTTAATGCTCTGAGTCATTGCTTTGTAGAAATCTTGATATTTTTGTTTTGTTGAAATATTGTTAACGAATGACATGTTTATGAAATACTTATATTTACAAAACTTACTACTTTCATCTAAATTTTTCCTATTAAAAGTAATTTTGTACATTAAATCAAATGCTGTGAAAACTACTGGGGCTGATTTTCATTTATTCTTTTAGAAACCCAGATGAAAGATCTTGACGTAATCACAATTCCTAGTAAAGATGTTGTGATGGTACATGAACCAAAACAAAAAGTAGATTTAACAAGGTACCTAGAAAACCAAACATTTCGTTTTGATTATGCCTTTGATGACTCAGCTCCTAATGAAATGGTTTACAGGTAGGTAAATTCATTTTAAATCAGAATTTTGTTCACATGCCATGTTTTTTACCACCCTGATACTTAAATTAATCAGCATTTTTCCAAAGCTGTAAAATGCTTTTTACCATGAGTTTTTTTAAGAAAGTAATAACCATTCCAATGAATACTAACATTTGTTACCTCTAATGCTCCCCCCAACTTAACAGTTTTCATTATTTATTTTACAGACATCTCACACACCATATATATGAAAGTAGAAATTTTCTGGGAAATGTTAACATTTTCTGGACCTCTAGAAATGGAAATGGTTAGAAAAGGACTTTGGTTTTTACTTTTTAATCTTTTGCACTAGTAAAGAAAATTGAAATAGCTGTAATACATAATCATTAATTTGTCTAGGTCTTTATTTAGCATGGGCCACCACTTATGGTTAAAAAAAAAACTGTAAAACTACTTAATATTTGCCTAATTACTTACTGTCTCTAATAATTAAGATAGTTTTAGTATATGAAATTTTTGTATGGTCACATTGAAATTATAAAACATTTAAATTTGCAGGTATTATACATTGATATCTCAATTTTTTATGGCAAGTGTAAATTGTCATATGTTGTGAATATTCATTTCCATTTACTATAAAAGATCCCTTTTTAGCTGTTTAGCTATTTCAGTCCTTACAGAACTGTATTGGCAATTACTAGAATGTTTTCTTTGTGAATAGATTTAAAACAGAATTAAATAGCTATTAAGAGACAATAAGAATTGATAGACAATAAGAATTGATAAATGAAATATGGCTGAGATCAATTCCATTGGTCTTACTGGGAACTTTAGTTGTACACAAAGAACACAAAATTAAAAACATGAATGATAAGTACAAAGTGTGAAGAATTTGTTTAAATTGTATACTTTTTTTCTTTCTGAGATCAGAGTTTTCCCTCTCCCTGTATGTCCTCTCTTCTCTCATAAATGCCTATTTAATTTTTATAATCTTTTTGAAAAAACATGAAAAATGAAGGTATATTTCTGTGTTTATACTAGATTTAGTAAATATAGCTGTAGCAGTGGATTACATTTACATGTTTGAAAAAAAATTCCAGCCAAATATTTTGGAATTCTTTTCCTGAATCAAAACTGTCAATTCAGAACTGGGTGCTTTATGTGCATAATTTATATTTATCTACATTCAAGAAAATCTGACCATTTTTCTACTTTGCTAAGTGGTCTCAATCAGTACTATTAAGAATACTCTTAAAAGAGTGTTTCTTTTAAGATTGTCATTCTTTTGTTTCTGTACCTGTCGGACCTTTTGATAATTATTTTGGTTTGTTTTCATTATGTATGTCTACTTATCTGACTCATATGTCTTCTGTTGTTTTGAGAAACTTCCTAATTAGTTGAGTTCCTATCAGTTTTTTTCTATTCATTATTATTTTGACCATCATTTATTATTAGCTCAATTATTTCTTGCAATTATGTTTTTAATACCTTTCAGCATTTAAAGGATGTTGATTATTTAAAATTTCTAAAAAATCAGTGGGCTAAGTGGCCTTACATTAAGTTTAAATTTGTTTAAAGCTCATGGTATAAGTTTTAATAAGATTTGTTATAACTTATTTGTGTGATTTAACTGTTAACATTCTGACCAATGGATTTGTTTTTTAAGGTTTACAGCCAGACCACTAGTGGAAACTATATTTGAAAGGGGAATGGCTACATGCTTTGCTTATGGGCAAACTGGAAGTGGAAAAACTCATGTAAGGAATTTATAATAGTCATATCCTAATATGAAGTTACAGTTTATCTTAACTTGCTCTAAGACCTACAATTTTTAAAGGTTTTTCTCTTGAAAAATGTCTGTTCTTTATTGTCTTTTTATTATAGACAATGGGAGGTGATTTTTCAGGAAAGAACCAAGATTGTTCAAAAGGAATTTATGCATTAGCAGGTAATTGTTTGACTCCCTTCTCCACCCCTCCTCTCCCCCCCATATTATTTGTAAGAGGGTGTTGAAGTGACTTTGAAATAAGACTTGGAAATATTGTTTAGGACTTTAAGGATAATTGTAATTTTATATATACTTTATATTATGTCAATTTTAGGTTATGTAAACTTGTGTAAAGAATGTGGGATTAATTTGGGGTGCTGAAATCTTGATTGTATTTGTGTCATTGTAATCTGGTATATTGTTAGAAGTTAGTATTTATTGTTGGACAGCTGATTTATGAAAACCTATCTGGTATCATGAGAGTAGCCTTATTATGACTACCTGCAATAATTTTGTACTATTTATAAGGATTGTAGTGTGTGCTTTTAAAAAATATGAAGGACAGTAACATCTAAACTTTAAATGTAAAATAATAAAAATTATTACTTCTTTTATAAAGAAGTAATATAAAGTTCACTTTAATCTTAATTTTTTATTATCAGTCTAGGTAAAGATTAACTTATTAACCTAAAAATAGGAATTTTGGTTTTCTTTTTAAAAATATTTTTAAAATATTTTTAAAATCTTAACAAATTTTCTCCATATGAAATTCTTGACAGCTCGAGATGTGTTTTTAATGCTAAAGAAGCCAAACTACAAGAAGTTAGAACTTCAAGTATATGCAACCTTTTTTGAAATTTACAGTGGAAAAGTAAGTGGACCCTTTTTTTTTTTTTTAAAGATATATTTATTCATACAGAACTAGGGTACAGGCCAGAGATGTGGAGGGTGAGAGGATTCACCAGGGACAGAGTGGAGAGCAGAACAGGCAGATGGACAGAGTACACTGCTGAGGGGAACCGTGGGCTGCCGCACCATGTGGTCACCTCCGGGCAGGCAGGGGTCAAACTCATGCGGAGGTGGCTTAAGCTTCTTAGTGCAGTGCTTTAACCCACTGCCACCAGCGAGGGCCTCGTGTCCCTTTTTAATTGCATTTACAACATATATAACAAAACTTACTGTTTAACTATTTTTAGGTGTACAGGTTCAGTGACTTTTAAGTATATTTATATTGTTATGCAGCCATCACCACCACTTTTTATATGCATTTAGAAAATGGTATTAGAATTTGTTACAAGTTTTCTTTTTAATGCTTTTTGGAACTCTTCAACCTCAGTAGTGAACATTTTATTCTAATGATGATTCTCTGAATATTGGATTTCTGGATGACTCATTCTTACAGACTTTTTTTCCTTTAAGGTGATTTTTTTACTTTTAATTTTTTTTAAATAGGTGTTTGATTTGCTAAACAGAAAAACAAAATTAAGAGTGCTAGAAGATGGAAAACAGCAGGTTCAAGTGGTGGGATTACAGGAAAGGGAGGTCAAATGTGTTGAAGATGTACTGAAACTCATTGACATAGGCAACAGTTGCAGGTAAATCTCTTTTTAATTAACAAAGGGAAAATTAACTGCATAATAAGTTTTAGATAAGTTAGCTATAGCAAAAAACAGATCAAGGATGTTATTCTATACATCTTGGAAGTAAAAACACTTCTTAAAATCTTTACTTACATGTATCTTTGATACTTACAATATCGCTAACATACCACAAATAAATTAGTATGTTGGTTTAAATGATGAAAGTTGGCTAAGTAGTTTTTGTATTTTGCTTTTTAATGAAAATACTATGATTTGACATCTGAATTCAAATTTTTATGTGTCGAAATTTCCTTAATCGCACTGTAGAACATCTGGTCAAACATCAGCAAATGCACATTCATCTCGGAGTCATGCAGTGTTTCAGATTATTCTGAGAAGGAAAGGAAAACTGCATGGAAAATTTTCTCTCATCGATTTGGCTGGAAATGAAAGAGGAGCTGATACTTCCAGTGCAGACAGGCAAACTAGGCTTGAAGGTGCTGAAATTAATAAAAGCCTTTTAGCACTCAAGGTAAATAAAACGTATTTAATTATGAAAAGCCTTTTATATGTAACTTTAATTTTCTTTTCTCAGTCACAAAATGGTATTTGCTTCATTTCAAAGTGAAAGGTTATCAAAATTGAGGTTTTGTGTGTGTGTTTGCAGTTAAAGATTTATATTATACCTAGAAAATTTCTTTGTGTACATCCTTTTTAGGGTAAAAAAGAGACAAAAAAAAATCTTAGTTGGCAAACCAATTCAAAGCTACTTAGGGGAGATTCCCACAGGCCTTTGTCCTTCATATTTTCTTTGAGGTTGGTAGGTAACCAGAGAATTGAGCTAAGAAAGTTTCTCAGAAAGATGCCGGGTGATTTCAAAAAGTTGGATCAGTTTTAAATCTCTTCCTTAACTAGAAGAGCAAAGGTTGGTAGAACTACTGGGATGCATTCTGTAATTTTTCTATTGGAGTGCCACTTTAAACATTTAACTCTTTGTGGATCTCTTATTGCCTATGATACTTAAACTCTGGTCATGGCTTCTTGAAGAATCTTTTGGAATAATAGTTTTTTTTTTTTAAATTTCATGTTCTTGAATTAGGACTTATGGGAACTTGTATTGGGTGATAAACTTGTTAATAAAATATTGACATTCTCTAAAAATGTCAAGTTCTGTAGTAAGATACCTTTTAAAATATGCTCAAATTACTCTTTGATGCTTGCTTTCTTAATTTTCAGGAGTGCATCAGAGCCTTAGGTAGAAATAAACCTCATACTCCTTTCCGAGCAAGTAAACTTACTCAGGTGTTAAGAGACTCCTTCATAGGTGAAAACTCTCGTACCTGCATGGTAAGTTAATGTTTTTACATGAATATCTTTATCTATGTGAAAAGTGTAATACACATTAGTGACAATCACTTAAATTTAATCTTTTCTGAGTGATATGGGTTGATACTTAGTATTATGTGGTACCTGCTAGTGTAATAGGATTATAATGTTTTTCACTAATTCCGACATCTGGTTGGTCTTAAGTTTGATCTCCATTGACTTCTTTTTTTTTCTTGAATGTGGATTAACTTTTTATTTGTTCATATGCTTAGCAATTTTGGATGATACCACTCACTTGTCATTATGAATGAGTATCTGTAGAGACTTTGTGTTATATTCTTAAGGTTATTGATTTGGTTTTGTTTTAGCAGAATATTAATTTACCTGTACTTAATCCAAAGTCACATCTTAACCCCCTCACCCCCAGAATGGTGGGCAGTAAATGAAACTGAATCTGTTTACTTCTTTCATGTTTAGCTATGTTGCTTGGAGTCATACTTAATGTGTGCCTACTCAGCAGTCAACCAGAGATTTGGCAGTTTGGTTGTAGAATTTTAGTTTCTCCCTCTGTGGCTGTCTCTCATATGGGACATGTTTTACTTTCTAGTTGCTGTGGTCCAAATGCTGTCCTCTAGTTCCTTAACCAATGAAATTTCAGTTTTCTAATGTAATTTCAGTTGTCCTGTGTGACAGTAGTAGTGCTTTTCTTCATTGAAAAGCTATTTCAAACAAGGAGGCAGAAGTCATTTGATGCTGCTCCCTTTTTCTAGGTGTTGACCTCCATTTTCTGCCTGATTTTAGTAGTCTTTGTTTTTATAAACAACTTTTCATAGAGCTTATATTTTAGCTGGCATTTATAATTACTATCTTTATGGGTATAAGGAAGCAAATTAGTATTCATCATTTATAATATTTTCTTTACCTTTGCATTCCCCTCCCCCCCCATAGATTGCCACGATTTCTCCAGGAATGGCATCCTGTGAAAATACTCTTAATACATTAAGATATGCAAATAGGTATGAAATGGGTATTTATTTTAAACTTGAAAGGAGTAGATTACTGTATGGCTTAATGTCTGATAGGGTAACTCTTAATACTTTCTTTTTTCAGTTTTTACAAATATTTAGAATCATTTTATCAAATTCAAAAAAGAAAGGAACAAATTGGGAAGAGCAACATATTTTTAGTAGAGTTAATGTTTCTCTCTTAGAACATGATTCTGTTTTTCTGTTTTACCGGTTGTATTTCATAGTATTTTACTACCTTTAAAAATTAAGATCTTCTACCCAAAAAAAAAAAAAGATCTTCTAGTTGTAAGACTCTAAAGCAACTGGGAGAGGGAGGTGTCTATAGTTCTCAAATTATATATGCTGGAATTATTTCTGATACTATAGAGAATTTAGAGTTTGAGTAAGAAGTAAAAACATGGTTCTGTCTGTTCTGTGTGGATTACATTTTATTGTTCTTGTCGGTAGTGTTACAAAGTTTAATATGTAACTGGATTATTATAGATGAAAGTACAGAAAACATGGATTATTAAAGCAGTTTATTCCTTGAGTCATGAAATACCCTCTAAATTTTGAATTGTGATGAGTATATTCATAAATGCTCATATAGGTTTTGTTTATAGATTTTCCCATTGCTCTTATTTTGAATGACTGCATAATTTTAAATTTCTCTTACCACAGGCGATACTTGTGGTCTTAACCTAGAGATAAAATTCCCCTTTGTATTCCACTTCTAACTGGAGATTCTCTAAATTTTGCTGAATATAAGTAGTTGTCCTACTTCTTTGTCTTAACTACTACGGAATTTTATCTTTTAAAATATGAACTATGAAGTATGTGGACAAATACCCAAAACAATAATGAGTTTTTATAAAATGAAAATTCCTATTTCTAGATTAGGAAATAGAGCATTGGGCCCTCGCTGGTGGCGCAGCGGGTTAAAGCACTGCACTGAGAAGCTAAAGCCACTTCCGCCATGAGTTTGATCCCCACCCCTGAGGTGACCACATGGCGTGGCAGACCTCTCCTGAGCCCGCCCGCTGCTCCCCTCAGCTGTGTACTTCATCGATCTGCCTGTTCTGCTCCCCATTCTGTCTCTGGTGAAGCCTCTCACCGCCCCTGAGCCTCTGGCCTGTACCCCAGTTCTGTATGCACAAATAAATAAATCTTAAAAAAAAAAAAAAAGAAAAAGAGCATTACTAGTCCTCCAGAAAAATCTCCATATGTTGCTTTTAGACCATAAATCCTAAATAACAAACCTACCTACATCAGCTAATCCTCACCCTAACATAACCACTCTTCTGACTTTTCTCATTTTTCTTCTTTCTTTTTGAAAAATAGTTTTACTACCTGTGAATGTATGCCTGATCAGTAGAAGCTGTATTTGCGCTTTACATAAAAGAAATCATGCCCTTTTTTTAAAATGTATATTTCTTTCAACTGAAGACATTTTTTTAAATGATAATGAAAACAATTGGGAAATTGGGAAATAAAAATCAATTGAACTTTTGTAAAAATACATGAACTTTTAAAAAATGTAATAGAACTTTTAACTGTTTTCTAAGTTTAATCCCATTTAACTTTTGATTTTGAGCTCCTAGTTGCAGACTTTATGCACTGTTGATTTATTATTAATATTGTAATTACTATTTTTAGTATGGGGTTTATTAATTAACATAAATCCTTATTTTAAAATTGTTCATGGGAGAGATAAAGAACAGCTTAGTGTAGTAGAATCTTGCCATTTTCTAGAATGAAACCAAATTAAATAATTTTGATATCTTCAGATTAATGATTAGAAAGGGATTGCCCTAGTGTGAAAATACTGTATCTGGCCATTCCTCTAGTTCACTTAGGTATAATAAATATTTTAATTTATTATATAATAAAATTCATTTGCAATATAACTAATAATTTGGTACAAATCATTCTGCTTTTCATTCCAAATACCTAGGAATAAAGATTTTTAGCAGTTTCTCATTTGTAAAATGGAGATACAAGCTTATTGTAAGAAATACAGTATAAAAATTACTAATCTTAATACCTGATATGTAGGAAATACTGCTACTATTAGGAAATGGGATTGACTCAATAGTGACAAAGGGAGTCACAAAGAAAGCCATAATTTGGTTAAATGTACTACTTAGAGATATTAGCAAAAGCAGTTTAGATTGTTTTCTCAAGCAGGGTTCTTCATCTCAGTGAAAAAATCTATAAATTTATTGACTATTTTCTTTGATACCTTCACAGTTGTTAATATTTCAGATGCATAGGGGAAAAGCTAATTCATTCCAAACAGTAGGTGCCATTGCAACTTAATCTTCTTGTGAGCTGTATAAAGAAACTCAGTGATTGTTAAAAACTCATGAATGCTAGTAAGAACAATATTCATGGTATTGACCACACACGAAAATTAGTTTGCATGTTCTTCTAGTTAAATAAAGGGTTTTTCAAATTTAAGCAATTGTCTAGCTAAACTTACAGGAAGGTTCAGGAAAAAAGGAAAGATATGCCAGAAAGGAGGACAGGACTATGGAGCAATCAGTAGGACAGGGACCTTCAAATGCATCTTAGAATTGCTTAATACCTTTTTCTAAACAAATTAAATTGAGATGAGAATTTGGAATGTACATTACTGTCTTTACAAGACCATTTTCTTTTAATTTGTTGTTTTGGTGCTGCTGCAGAGTAAAGGAGTTTGGAATTAGTCCATCAGACATTCCCTTCTCACAGGGTAGTGGCAGTCGCCCTGATCTCTCTCCTTCTTATGAGTATGACGACTTTTCTCCTTCAATTACCAGGTCTACTTCATTCTATACATAAGATGTTTATCTTAATAGCTCCTTTTGAGTTGTGCTATGTATAAATGTCTCATAATTCTTTTGTCCTGAGCCATTTTATTTTTCATTTTTATTTTGTTTGGCAGGTGGTGATTGTACTGCATGATATTCATTTTTATGTACTTTATTATTTGCTTTAAAATGTTAATTTAGAAATCATACTTTGTATTTCCCTTACTATGTTTTTAAGGATGATGTCATCTTTGCACATAATTAACTTCCTAGTAAGGAAATAACAAGGATTCTGTTGACTTTGAAAGTATACTGTCTCCCAGAAGTGTACATTGTAATCTTTATATTTAACAAATTAAGTTATTTCATGCATACCTTTTAATTGAAGATAAAGACTACCAGAAATCTATAGAATGTATTAAATTATCTGATTTTGGGAACAATCCATCTATTGATCTAAATGCCATTGTTAGCATTTTTCTGCAGTGAATCTTAACATGTAGTAAGTCTTTTTTACTTTGATTATTTCTAATTCTTAATTATTACTAATTGTTATAATTCTTAATTATTCCCAATACTTAATTCTTAATAATTATCATAATTATATTTGAAATAATTGTAAAGTTCCAAATAAATTCCTAAAATTAAAACAGCTTCACTTCCTTTAGCATTTCCAGAGTTCATATACATGTCATTTGGAAAGCTGACATCAATCTTACTGTATTAATTGAATTGCCTGTACGTTGAATAAATTGATATTTCTTATTCTTCTACATGAGCTTTTGTTAATATTGGCTATTTCTTATGCATTATAGGGTGAAAGAATTGACTGTCGATCCAACTGCTGCTGGTGATGTCCGTCCAATAATGCATCATCCACCAAATCAGATTGATGACTTAGAGGCACAGTGGGGTGTGGGGAGTTCCCCTCAGAGAGATGATCTAAAACTTTTATGTGAACAAAATGTAAGTGACTTAATGATGCGATTATCTAGTCTTAGTTCATCAGTAGCAGAATTTTGTAATTGAAAACTGTCACCTAAATCTGTGGTTGGCAAATTAAAGCTAATAAGATAGCCATTTATTTTTGCAAATAAATATGTACTGTCAGGCCTTTTAAGGAAGATGTCTGATTCTGATATAAGCTATTCTTGCCTTCTACCCTCCTCAATTTTATATTGGTATTAAAATGTGGGGGGGTTTAAAGTAATAAGATGAAAATACATGTTTTAAAACTGTACCGATAGTATATATAAAGCTTAAAAACAAAGTGAAAGAACTTTGTATATTTGTGTATGTATTAAAAGGACACAAACTATATCAAAAATTAAACATAGTAAAGTGCTGTGCTTTAACCCCTTGTACCACCAGGAAAGCCCTGGATAAGAAATTTCAATTTGTTGGCTGCGGCACTTACACTTATATGACCTTAATCTAATAACTTGACCTTTTGTTTTATCATACGATTACAGTATTTTACCATATCAAGTTGTAAAGATTCTAACAGATAATAAGTAAAATGTTTAGCAAATGTAGCAAACAACTAAAACGGAACCTTTTATCAGTATGAGAATTATTAGGTTGCTTAAGTTTGTAAGTCTGTAAGTTTGAAATGTTTAGAGTACTTCAGAATTTAAAATTTTATTTCAGGCCTCCCTGGTGGTTCAGGGGGTTAAGTCTCAGCACTATCAAGCTGTCACCAGCTAGTGCAGTACAAGTTTGATCCCTGGCCAGGGAGCTAACCCACATGGTGAGGCAGATATCTCCTGTCTCACCTGTTGTATATTTCAGCAGTATATTTCAGTAGATCTCTCTGTTTTGTTGCTCTTCACTCTGTCTTTAGTGAATCCTCTCATCCACCCTCCCCCCTCCATACACCCCTGGCCTATGCCCCAGTTTTTGTATGCATAAATAAATAAAAATCTTTTTAAAAAATAATAAAAATTTTATTTCCTCAGTTACTAAAAAAATAATAAAATATTGTGCCCTGTACAAGTTAAAGAGGGATAAATAAAAAATCATAAGTTATATACATTTTTACATTATTTTAATAATTCCTTTCTGTAGTTATTTAAATTCATTTTATTTTTTATTGAAGATTTACTTATTTATGCCTACAAAAATTGGGATATAGACCACTGGTATGGAGTGTGAGAGGATTCATCATAAACAGAGTGGGGAACAAACAGGCAGATTGACTGAAATACACTGCTGAGGGGAGCACTCAGTGAGACAGGAGAGTTCTGCTGTGCCATGTGGGTCACCTCCCTGGCCAGGGATCTAACATGTGTTGTACTTTAACCCTTTGTACCACCAGGGAGGTCTTAACTTCCATTTTAAAAATGTATATTCTATATAGTTTTCTATCATTCTTTTCCCACTAAGCACCCTATTGTGTTAATTTCTCATACTGAGAAATGGTTCCATTTTCGTTGTTTTTTACTACATTTGCTAAGCATTTTACTTATTAACTGTTAGAATCTTTTGTTGTAATCCTATAGTAAAACAAAAGGTCAGGTTATTGGGTTAAAGTCATATAAGTAGAAAGTGCTGCAGCCAGGCAAATTGAAATTTCTTATCCACGGTGTTCCTGGCGGTGCAGCAGGTTAAAGCACACCACTATCAAGCAGCTGCTTCGTCATGAATTCAGTCCCTGGCCAGTGAGGTGGCCCACATGGCCTGGTGACCTTTCCTGTCTCTCCCACTGGCTGCTGCCCTCAGCAGTGTACTTTGTAGGTCTGCTGGTTCTGCTCCTCACTCTGTCTCTGATTAATTCTCTTAACCATCCCTGCACCTCTGGCCTATACCCCAGTTCTGTATGCATAAATAAGTAAGTCTTTTTTTTTTTAAATGAAATTTCTTATGCATAGCCAGATGTGATATCAGTAGGATCTTGTTATCTGCATATTACTTGGAAACAATATAACATAAATCAGTTTTATACTTTGTAGTTATGAGAGTCCAAAATATACAAATAGGCATGTCATTTTTTAGTATAGTACTATGTTCCATATCCATAATCCACTGTTAGTAAAGCAGCTTTTTTTCCCTTTAATTTGCCTTATTTATTTGTTTGTTTGTTTGATTATAACACCTTATTTTTACATCATTTTGTACATTCCCCCCCCCCCCCACCTCACTTGTAATCCCCGCGGGTTTAGTAAAGCAGCTTTTAATACAATAGTTGTAGGCGTGATTTGGCACCCCTTAGGGAAAACTGTACGGTGAGATTTCTTGTCACAACTAGTGTGATGTTACTAACATTTAGTAGATAGGGATAGGGATGCTAGAAATTGTATTTATACAGGACAGCCCACCCTCTACTCACCCCAGATGTCTCAACGTTGACATAATCTGGCTTAAAGTAAGAATTGTAATCTTTGAAGCACAGAAGATAACTGAAATTGAGATCTAGGGCTTAATCTATCTGCTCCCCCAAAGTTTTGAAGGAGTTTATAATTGCTCTTAAAATCCTTAAGCCAAAACTCTACTGAAATAGATATGGTAAACCAACAGAAGCTAGGACTCCCTCTAGTAGATCTCGCATTTCATTTTTGCATTTATTTAGTCTCTGCAGGATCTTTATAGTTTGGTTAGTAGCTAGAACTAAGCTACAGGCTTAAGGCATGACATGAAGAGTTCTTGTAACCTTTTCCATGTTTGAGAGAGCATGGATTTTTTTTCCCACCCCCCAAGGAACTATCTTAAGATGGTTTAGCATTAGCCATGTTAAGTATCAGTAAATGTGTATAAATTCTTGTTGATGTTACTATTCCAAAAGAGATTGCTATTTTAGGATAAGTCAGTAGTAAATCCTGGACTAGTGAAAACTATATTCCTTACTGATATGTACCATTGAAGTCGCCTCTTGAAGTGACATTGTTGTAAATGACATAGAAAAACTTCTTATTTTAAGGAAGAAGAGGTTTCTCCACAATTGTTTACTTTCCATGAAGCTGTCTCACAAATGGTAGAAATGGAAGAACAAGTTGTAGAAGATCACAGGGCAGTATTCCAGGTAAAGACACAGGAGCTTTTATCAGTTTCTCTTTAATTAGCAAAATTTTTCATAATTTTAAAAAATACTTTTGTGTGTATGTGTGTAAAAAAGAGAACATCACTTATTTAGGGTAGACTGGATGATAGCTACAAGCATCCTTTCTTTGCACCAACAGTGAAAAGACCTACTCCTCTACCATGCTCTCATTTATCAGTTGTCCATTTTAAGAGAGTATTGAACTTCTACCCTTTATTACCCCTTTCTTCACATTCAGCTTTTTTTTTTAAATAGCAGTTAATACTCTCTGAGGCTGCCTGAGCTGTTGAGAAAGTATCTATTTTTACAGAAAATGAAGACATTTAGAAGTCGGGGTTGGGCATGGTGTCTGCCTGTGGCAGTTGAGTAAGGGGAAATATTCTCCACTAATAGCAGTAGCTAATTACATAGGTATTCATACCTTTGTATGTTGAATCTAGTAAAAGCATTTTTACTCTGATCCTCCTCAATTATTTATGAGTATGCCTTCTTTGGTGTTAAAAGAAATCTTTGTTGTAATACTGTAGTTTGTTGTAATGTCGAAATATTGTAAACAAATATTAACACACCTAATTCTAATGTATTCAAGCACGTGGATAAAGGACTAAAAATAATAAGGCAACACATCACTTTATTTCAGAATTGAGTTACATTTGTTTAGTTAGATCCTTATGGGTATCTTTTTAGAGATCTAGGTGATAGATTAAATCAAGGACAGTTGTAATTTGAGATAATTGTTGCCTGTGCCCTTGTGAAACAAGCTTGTCACAGAAACCATTATTTCCCATTTTGCTGCTCTTTGATGATGAAGTTTCATGGTCCATTTTTGTTTATTAAACAGAACTGGGTTTTCTTTGAATCAGCTGTTCCTTTCATAATTCCATTTCTCTTTAAAATTGGATTTTGTGTTTTGAAAAGTGTATAGCAGAAAGAAATGAAAATACTGGTATTTATGTGTTTTAATTAATACATATTTAATTTTCTAGTAGATATTTATACTTTGTTAACCAATCAATTCTGCGTGGTGATAATCTGCTTGTTAGTCATTAAATATATTAATATTTGAAAATTGAAATTTTATTTAACCTAAGAGTGAGAATGTGCCCAGTTTTATATCCAAAAACCCTTTTAATTTGGAGTTAAACTCTTAAACTTGTCAATAATCCATATGATTTAAAAAAACCATTGGGAAAAGACTCATAAATTAAGAATGAAAGGTTTCCTTGACGCTTTTAAGAGTGGTAAGGAACTATTATTTTGTTAATTTATTTGACTCTCCTAAAATTGGCTGTACATTGGTCCCTTATAGTCATAATACTTTTGAAGAGCTACTATTTATTATTACTTTTTGCCCTAATTCTAATAAATGATGGATAGGTTAATTCCAGAGATTACAAATATTGGGTTACCATAGGCCATGTCAGATTGCTCTGCTTTACTGTTCTTTTCCCATTTCTGGGGATAGTGGTTAAGGATTTGATATTTACTCTGTTGATTGATACTTGTTTTCGATTCATTCCCTCCTTCAAACCCTAAATAAGATACAGTAAAAAAAAAAATGAAGCGCCTTGGTTTGACTCGTCATAAATTGTGTTTTCTTAGTTTATGCTATACATTTTTTTTTTTTAAATTTTAGATGGCTATTAGCATTATAGATATTGTTATCTTGGGTATGTTTGACTATATTTGGTGTACATAAAATTTATAAATCGCTGTCTTACAAGGCGGCTTATTGGATTACTAAATTCTTGTTGTTCTAGGAATCTATTCGATGGTTAGAAGATGAAAAGGCTCTCCTAGAGATGACTGAAGAAGTAGACTATGATGTAGATTCATATGCCACACAACTTGAAGCTATTCTTGAGCAAAAAATAGACATTTTAACTGAGCTGCGGGGTAATACTGTTTTTATATTAGTGTTTAAAATCAGCTTAATATTTGTATGTTGTGCTTAATGGGAAGATCTCATATTGCAAGGAGACATAGGAAGTAAAAAGTTAACATCTTAACATCTTTTCATGGGTATAAAGACAAACCATTATTTCTTTCAGAAAAGAAACTTGGGGCATTATTATACATGTACTATAATCTGTTTTTAAGTCTTTGAGAAGATGACAGACATTTTATGATCAAATTAAGGAAATATGTAATTAACAGATTATATTCCCATATCAGAATTTTACTGTTAGACTGATACTTCTCAGAACTCTAGTCTATTCATCACCTTCATACATCACCTTCATAGCCTCCTGTCTACATTATCTGTTTATCTTGTGTCTTTTCTTTTGAACAATTGTTTTTAAAAATCATGGAGGAAATTTCAGTTTCAATTTCAAATTTCTACTTTGCTTATGAAGGGACCTGTAATCCACCCACATATCACATCTTCATGACTTTTTCTTGTTCTCTGTATAGTTTTAGATAAGCATTTATTGTTATGTGCTAATTTCCTAAGCATTGGAAAATTAAGTGTTTATATGTAAGTGGACATCTGAATGTGTTTGCACCTGTGATGCAGCATGAAACCAGATTAAAAATGCTAGGTTTAGGCACCCAAGAAAGCAGCTTAAATTCTTTAAACTTGCTCTTTTGTGAGGTTGGGTTATATAAAATCATACCCTATAGTGACAGTTTTCCCAATTAGAATTGTTTGTGCAGGTGTGGGTTTTTTAATTTACTTGTTTTTCATGCTTACCATTTTCAAGCCTTCATTTAAAGTGTCTTGATCATTTTTATAATCTGCCATAATTCACAAGCAGCTTTTCATTATATATTTTATTCAGAAGATAAGTCATAATGCATTGTAAGTTTTCTTTATGAAACATAATATTTTTTGTTAGCATCAGATACTCTTAAATTCCTTCCTGAATTTCAGGGAAGTCAACTTTTTAAAGACATTTTATGCTCTTGAAGAGGGGAAAAACATGGAGGTTGCTTTTGTATGTTTCTTCTGAAGGTCATAACCTATGCAATATTGAACTGCGTAATTCCTTCTTAGGCAGTGACAACCTGTGCATTATATAATACTTACAAGCATTCTTAGTCTCTTGACCAGATGACAAGAGTGCCACTCTAGTTGTGGTAATCTGTAGACATTACCAAATGCCTCATTGGAGACAGAAATCACCCACATTGAGAAATACTGTCACGGAAAGATTTCTCATCTTTACAGCTATTACTTCTGTCATCTTACTTATATATATATCTTACGTAACTTTGCTTTAGTACATGCTAAATGGTAAGACAGTTTTAAGACCAAAAAATTTATTATCCTATAAACCTACCTTCCTAGTCTCACTTCACATTAAAAAAAAAAATTTATTTTTTAACATTCAAATATCTTTAAAAATTCCACAGGTTAAAAAGTGGGAACTTTGAGTAGAAATTTCCTAATACTGAGAGAAGAAATGTTTTACAGTTTAATAATATTCACAGTATTATATCTTTTGTACACAATTGTATATACTTTACATGTAAATAGCCTAAAAAAGAATTTAAATTGATCACTGAAATGTGCCAACAATAGAAATTTGTTGATATTAAAAAAAAAAGTTATTTCCAGGAATCTCTAATGATTACCATAGTTGAACATTGTATTTAGTTCTGATTTCCTAGACAACAAACAACAAAAGGAAAAGTCCTGATTGTTTTAAATTGTTTTGATAAGCCCCACAAAGTTGTATACTATATTTAAAGCAATATAATACTTATTCCCTTGTTCTTTTTTTTCCCCCTCAAGATAAAGTGAAATCTTTCCGCGCAGCTCTACAAGAAGAAGAACAGGCCAGCAAGCAAATCAATCCGAAGAGACCCCGTGCCCTTTAAGTTAGCATTTGCTGCTAAAGGATCCCCAAAACCCCCACTATTGTAACATAAAATGAGTCAGTTGTAAGGGCCATTTGAACGTTTGAAATTTTAAAGTGTCTGTGGAAAATGTCTTTGTCCCTTCACCTGAATGATATTTCAATTTTGTGAAACACTCTGTCTACAAAAATGCTTCTAATCCAGGAGGCAAAACCAAGATTTGGGAATAGTGAAGCATTATGTTTCATTTACCCAAATAGTGATTTACTTTTGGAGATCCTTGCCAATTTTATTTTCTATATGATGAAGTAAGAGTGTGGACCTGATCCAGAAGTCAACAGTAGGGGGGAAGCCACAGCATTTCCTACTTACTTGGTTCAGTTTTTGTAGCAAGACTGAGCAGTTTTAAATCCTTTGCGTGCATGCATACCTCATCAGTGATTGTACATACCTTGCCCACTTCTAGAGACAGCTGTGCTCTCCTTCCTGCTTTGTGCCTTGACGAAGGCTATTGACCCTAAATTTCTGAAGCACAGCCAAGATAAATCACATTCCTTTTTGTTATTGTAAATTACCTTTACTGTGTGTACATTTTTACTGTATTTGAGACATTTTTTGTGTGTGACTAGTTAATTTTGCAGGATGTGCCATATCATTGAATGGAACTAAAGTCTGTGACAGTGGACATAGCTGCTGGACCATTCCATCTTATATGTAAAGAAATCTGGAATTATGATTTTAAAACCATATTACATGGTTATAATTTTCTTAGCATTTTCTTTGTAAAGAACTAAAATATAAACTAGTTGGTGTATAATAAAAAGTAATGAAATTCTGAGAAGAGTTTTATCTTAGGATAATACATATCTATATATCTGTTTAGATATATAGATTTATATATATGCAGTGTGTGTTCCAGTGTGGTATTAACAAGATTAATAGTACAATTTGATCCTTACCAATACCATTATTTAAGTTGGGGTGTCCATTTGCACCAGAACATGTACCTTCTTAAATGTACTGTTAAAGGAAAATTGGCTCCTGATGCATGAATGATTACATGTACATTGAAAGTAGTCCATTATAGAACTGTTAGTTTAAGACAAGTATAGACAGTACCTAATTCCCCTGAAAAAGAATGAAGCTAAAAAAGATGATTTTGCCTTAAGAGGCAGCTCTGACCCAAGCTCTATTACCTAGTGTGTGATGTTTCACCAATAAGTTGTTGTAGGGTATCCTACTTTATAAATGGTGGCACTTATTTTTACAGTTAACTACTCCAAGGAAGTGACCGCTTTTCCTGTAAATATTTTCTTAAAAGATTTATATATATCTCTAGGAGTTTTCCCTCAGTTCCCACAATAGAATCTAGGAGCAGATTAAACCACAAAAAGTCTCCCAAGGATACCTTGTTTTGATTTACTCTAGGGAACTGCTTAGTTCATTCACATGAGCCAAAGGGAAGCTATGAATAGAGAATCATGAGCCAGACTCCCGATTTCACTGTTCATAGAACTCAGAGGATAGCTGTAGGAAATCCTAACATCATGGTGAAAAGCCCCTTTGTAAACTTGAAATATAAAACAGATGTAGAACAATGTTTATTAATAAATGTAATCTATGGAGCAACTTTTAGAGATAATTTACTTCAATACAATCACCTTTGTTTTGGAAGGGACTCAGGTTTTCTTACAGCTATATTTTCTGTTTGTGTTTATTTCAAAGAGAAGAGGAATAATGGAGAACTGTTACTATTGATCCTGCAGAGGCTGTTGTAAAAGGTAGTTTTTGGGACTAACCAATCTTTCAAGGGCAATAAAGAACTGTGAACTAGTTCATTTTAAAGCACAAATTATTATTTAAGTTAGATGTATAATGCTTCTGGAAGGTCTCTTTACATCCATGCACATTGCCTTAACTATAATGGCTTCATTCTGACCATTAGTAAAGGAAGATAAAAAATTAGTATCAAAAAGATTTTAGTAGTATAATTGAGTCCTTCAGTTTTACAGATAGGGAAAATTGAAGGCCAGAAAAGAGAGTAAAACTCAGCAAGTTCATAAGGACAGAGGGGGAAATGAATTAAATCTTAAATTCAAATTGCCCTATAAGGCTAGAGAATGGTATAAGTGAACTTTGCAAAATAATCTTATAAGTATATTTAATATTCCTGTAACAAGTGATTAGACACGGCTATTACTTAAAGAATTTTTTTAGATCTGATTGAGCCTTCTTTACTTTTTGAGACTTGTAAGCTGATATCCCTACTAAGTAACTAAGAACATGAATTATTTCATTTACATAACAATGTTTTAATATCATTTTGAAAACAAATCTTAAGCAAACCTAGATTTATTCATTGTACCTTTTTAAAAATAATTTGGAAACAATCCTGTTGATATAAATAAAAATAAATATTGGTGAAGACTTACTAATTTCCTTATATAAATAGCTACTATAATTTTTTATTAAAGTGTTAGCACTCAGTATTATGATTTAAATATAGTAGCTAATATTTATTTATGACATCTCTTGAAATTTTCAACCTGATATTTTTAAATAGCTTAAAAGTAAATACTAGGAATATGGGGAAGTACTGAAAATTTTATTATCCATAATCATGAATAATATTGAGAGCTTATTTTGAGAAAATGGCTAGTTGGGATTCTTTTGACTTTGAAATTGAAGGGCAGAGATTTGATCTTAACTTTAAAATTAATTTGATTTACAGAAGTCTGTGAAGTTTTGTTAAACTTAGGACTATTTCCCCGAGGAAAAATAATGCAGTCTTAAGTTTATTTCATTTTAGTTAAGCAGCCTCATCTTACAGGTAAGGACTCATGTCTAGAAGTAATTTGCTTGGTAAGCAGATGCTGGTAGTAGAAAACTCAGGCTTACTGAGCATTCTAATGTAGTCTATGATGCAACAAGATAACTAGGCAGTGGTAGAAGTTGTATAGACTAGATAAATAATGACAGAAGCAAAATGAAAACATTTTAAGAAACATTTTACTGTGCACATGAATAATAAGAAATGGTATGGGAAATATGTAACTGTTTAGCATATCTTAATTTTTTTACTACTTGAGGGACAAAGGTCTAAAGAGCTGAAGACCTAAGAGATTATAGTTATATATCTATATATAACAAAGAAAGTAGAAGAGTAACATCTTTATACAGTAAACTTAAAAATGGTAAGTTGACGTGTCAAGTAGTTGTGCGTGTTTGCGGCTCTTGAAGATTATCAGTGTATAGATTGAACCCTAAGCTGTGTTAAACATTATAAAAAGAGACCAAAGTTTAAAAAAAAAAAAAAAACTTTGGTACTGTAGTAATTCAGGGTAATAAGTGGTAACAACAGTAGTCTTAAAACAGTCCAAGTACACAATATCCTAGAGGAGCAAATACATGGTACACCTTCTCAAATCATTGAAAATATGTAATTCCAACTTCATTTCTTGAGTTTGAGAAATTGTTTCCCAGATACCTAAGAAAAATGGATACCTTCTGCATTGAATCCATGTAGCAATCTAAAGGTGGAAAAAATGGCATATTTATTTGTTACATATAATTACATACAGTTACTATACCATGAGTTCTAAAACATGAACACATCATACCTGTGAGTTCCGTCTGTCCCAACAGTAAGTAGCCATTAAAGGAAATTAGTCTTTAACTATATCTGTAAGTACATGACTTTGGTGCCTTTTTTTGTCGTAGTTTTGTCTTGAGTTTTGATAATTTGATTAAAAATACCTTAAACCACCACTATCTTCGGCCTAAATTCATTAGCACTTGTTCCACTTGGAATTAGGTAGAAAAGAAGTGAATAGCTAATCTCACATATCTCATCTACCTCTTTGAGGTCACACTATTGAGGTTCAACTGAAAAATTGTCAGCTTGCTTCCTCTTGATACCTATGTACTTATCAAAATCCTAGTTAGCAAACCACATGTAATAATCCTTGAAAATATCTGGTGAGAATCAAGAAAAGTGATGACATATTTCTATTTCAACCTGAGATTTGCAGAAAGGCCCAGAGGAAGAGGTCAAGATAGGTTAATATGTCTACAAAATGAAAAGTACTTTATAAATAATCTTCAACTCCTAGGAGTAATGTCTAATAAAGACTCCGAAGTACTACTAACCTGTCAATAAAGTGAAAAGCCTATTTGTCTTACAAAGAATTACTTCATTTAGAAAAGTCAAATCAGTGACTTCAATCTACCTTCATTTTTTATTCAATCTCTAGAATACAGATGCTTTAAAAATAAACTGGCGAAATAGGCAGAAACTTGTGTGCAGTGTTAGTGTAAGGAAATCAAAGTATTAGTGATTAAAAATAAGTCAATAATAACAACCTGGGTGATAGAAGCCTTACTCTGTTTTCTTAAGAATGACTGACTTAAATGGAAGAAAGCTAATAATTGACATCCTTCTTTTTTACTTTAGGCATGGAGCACTTCCCTCAGCTTATAAAACAATTACATCATTATTAGATCAGTTAGAAATAACCAGGTATTTTGTACTTAAAGCCCATTAGCAATTTCCAAAAAATCAAAAAGACCAAAATATGTATGTATGTATGTAAAGGTGTTCATATATTTTAATAGGCTTATTTGAAGATACAAACTTAAAACTATGAATGGGGGCTGGAGGGAAGGCGCACACGACAACACACTGACACAGAGGTTATCTCCAGGCTCAGACTGTTCTCAAAAGAAAATGTTACTGCTGCAGCTAACTAGTCTACATCTTCTACACCAAATACTATTCTGTCATGGAAGTGCTATGCAATATCTCCCAGGTAGCTTCTAAAACCGCTTAAAAGCCTTTAAATCTAATCTGGAGGTGTCACAATAAAGAAATGTAAGCACTTAAGAAACATGTAATTACCTGATAAAGTCATCTATGTCCATGGAACGGGCTCGCTTGTCACTAAATCCTGTGCTGGTTAGGATTTGCTGTATTTTATCTGCTATGCTGAAATCTTCTGGTATTACCTATCAATAAGATTCAGAATAAATGACAACGTATCTTTAATGAAGTCACCTTGACTCTCATTTTTTTTTTTAGTTTAGTAAGTCATGAAACACCTTTTCTCTGCTCATGACAGTTTGAAAGCCTGTTAGTGCAGGTAAGAACTGATCTCTAATTAAGCACCTGATCTTTAAAACACACCAAATAACCAGATATAAATTAGACACATACACTGCTCTTTAAAAATTCTGACATAGTGTTGTTTCAGTCTGAGGACATAATGGTTAACCCTGTGAACTAAATACTTTAAAAGTAATTCAGTTTGTTGGCACAAAACCTTTTTACCAATTTTTCTTAGATAACCTTTCTAACCCTTGAGAATATTACTTCACATCTTCCATCCAAATATTTTTCTCTATCCAGGTTAACCTCTTAACTACTTAGGCAAATAGTATGAAATAGAAAATGTAGATAGCAGTGTATAACACATTAATCTATGTAAGGTCTGGGTCAAAAAATGCAAAGGAAAATACCTGTGTTCTGTAATTTGAAAGTACTAAAAAGTTACGAAGTACACACAATCAGTGTATATGGAAATATTTCATTTTCTGGGTGCTAAAAGTGATTAAGATGTCAACAAACAAATGGTCAAAATTTGAAAGAAAGCAAATGGTACACATTTTAAGCCAAGCAACTACAGCTGAATTTCTATGGCTAAAAACCAGCTAAAGAGGTAGCCTACTTGGTGGCATATAGGTTAGGTCTCAGCACTATCAGTTTATCAGCCTGAGTACAGTCCCTAACAGGGAGCTAAAAACCATGATGCAGCAGACCCTTCTTTCTTGCCTTCTGCTCCCCTTAGCAGTCTATTTAGATCTGCCTGTTCTGCTCCCCACCCTTTTTTTGGTAAATCCTCTCTGGCCTACACCCCAGTTTCTGTATGAATAATTAAAAATCTATCTTTAAATAAGAGGATAGAGTGGAGTAAGGTTGGTTATAACCTGTTCTACAGAATATATATATATATGCAGGTAATAACAATAACCCATCAATACTGAAGTTGTACTAGTCAAAGCATACTGTTTGCTATACATAATACTTTTTTAAAGACTGAATGAAACAAAATTAAGATCTTGTAACGAAAAGAATAAAATACAGGGACATATTAAAACAAAAACTACCATTTGAAATATAGTAACTTTTTGCTTACAGTATTATGGACTGAACAGTGGATTCTGTAATTTTTTTCCAATAGCTGTTGCACTGCGCTTGACCTATAGAATACAGAAGTGAAAATTGGAGATTATAATTTTCTTACTGTTTATAAATATGTGTTCCACATGTTGAAATTATGGAACTAAAAAAAGTCAAATATTTAAACTTTCAGAACAATCATGAACTGGCTGTATTTTAAAAATATCTATAAAGATTTTTAAATTCTTAGGTTCTAGACTCCCCCCAAATTATTAACTAAAAGTTTTTTAATTAAAGCTTTCACCTACCCTTGGGTCTCAAATTGCTTTTACATTTTCCAGCTTAATAAATGGCATAAATCCTTCACAAGTATGAAAGGGGCCCACCATCCCATTTTTTAAAAATACATATTTATGCATACAAGAACTGAGGTACAGGCCAGAAGTGCAGGAGAGTGAGAGGATTCACCAGAAGCAGAGTGGGGAGCAGAACAGACAGATGGACTAAAATATACTGCTGAGGGGAGCAGTGGGCAAGACAGGAGAGGTCTGCTGCACCATGTGGATCAGCTCCCTGGCCTGAGATTGAACTTGTGCTACAGTGCCTGCAGGAAACTTCGTAGTGCTTGTGCTTAACCCACTTGCACCATTGAACCACTTTTCACTGAAAAATTAGATGCATGGTCAGTTTGGAGGTTTTCCCTTCTGCCAAAAATATGATCTAATTCCCAAGTCATGCCTCCCAAAGAGGTAAAGGGTGTTCTTTTGGCAGAAATGACCATCATTACGTAAGTCACCCAACAAACAAAAGGAGAATAGTGAGCCTCCCTGGTGGTAGAAGTTCAATATCTAGCCAGGGAGCTGACCCACATGGTGCAGCAGACCTCTCCTGTCTTACCCACTCCTCCCCTCAGTATAGCATTTCTGTCAATCTGCCTGTTCTGTTCCTCACTCAGTCTCCAGTGAATCCTTTCATGCTCCACACCTACAGCCTGTACCTTAGTTCTTGTATGCATATATCTTTAAAAAACAAAAAGGCAACAAAGATTTGTTCCTTTGACCACACACATGCAAATGAACAGAATGATGATATTATAGGCAGCAAGGGTCTGGGCACTGTTAAAAAATGAAAGCCCCAAAATGTTTGGAGGTTCCTCAAACTACATGGAGCTTCCATATGACTCAGCAATCCCACTTCCTAGGTATCTACCCAAAAGACACAAAAACAGTGATTCAAAAAGATAGCTGCACCCCCATGTTTACTGCTGCTTCATTTCCAATTGGAAAGACATGGAAACAGCCCAAATGCCCAAAAGTAGATGACTGGATTAAAAAGATGTGGTACA